CGCCGCCACTGCCGCTGCCGCCGCCGCCGCCGCCGCCGCTTGCTACCTCCACCCTCTTTCCACGTACGTGCAACACGAGAGAGCTGCACAGTCGATTTACTACGAGCTTTATGGTACACACCGTGCGAGAGCACGCAGAAGTACCCTACGGCTAACTATCCCGCGCTTGGAGTCTACCACGGCCGACTGTATTATTCCCTGTAAACTATCCCGGGCCACGCGCCCGACGCACGCGCGATTACACGCACGCTCGCGCGTAATGCAGCGATTTTTACACTTCCCGGAAAGCTCGTTCGAGCGTCGGAAAGCACATGATCGGTATTTTCGTCGGCGAGAAGTACCTACCACGCGCGCGCGCGCGCGCACACACTCGCCCGACACCCTCCATTCTATTCATTCGCACGTATCGCGAAACGATACTCGCAATGAGGGGGGAGGCAACAATGCGATGGAAATAATCGTTGAGACGCTGTAATTCAATGATACAACATCCACTTTTATTTTTGCTGAGAAAATCTCTCGAATTGGAAACGTCTGGGGTTATTTTATTTTATTTTTTTTTTTTTTATCGCCGTAGAGACGCGCCAGCGACAGATCCTTGCGAATCGTATAATAAAGGAGCCGACAATTACGACGACGACGACGACGACGACGGTGCTGGTGACCGTCATAAACCGCGCGAAAGGAAGAGGTGGTGAATATCGATTAAGCGATCGCGGGAAACGTAATTTCTGTAATACGCGAGATCATTTCAGAAGCGCCATCGGCGGCAGATAATTGAGATGGATATTGAATCGTCGACGCGTCACATTTCCGCGGGCTCATTGCCGTCTGGTATATTCTCCCCGATACATTCATACGTAACGATACACCCCCCCGGTTCCAGTAAATTTGAAATCGGCCAAATCGCCCGCAGACAATCAGTCGAAACAAATTTCGCCCATTAGCGATACCGTTTCGGAGAATACGTGTCACGCTGCAGTTCTCGTCAAATACAAATACCATATCTGCTCGCGAGATGCGTTCGTCTCTGTGCTGCGCGAACCCTCTCTCTTCACCCGCCCTCTTCTGTTCCTCGTACGCGCGCGCGCGCACTTACGCGATTGAGATGAAAAATTCGCATTTTATTTCGCAAAATCGCGACACAAGTCTGAATATCCCGATTATAATAAATGCGATCCGGATTATATCGCGATCGGCGGTTCGGGGGATTCGAGCCTTCGGGATCGCGGAAAGAGAAATTCATCGCGAAGCCGATTCCGGAAGACTCGAAAAATTCATCGCTTCTTCCGAGCGAGCAAATTCCTTCCTGCAAATCAATTTCTTTTCATTTCCGTCTATTTTCCGCGAGATAAATTTCCCTCCCCCGCCGTTTCGCTCTTGTTGCTCGTCGTCGCATTTTCACGGATGTTCGGACTGGCGCGCTCTGGACAGTCGGACGCGCGTCAAACGGAGCAGCGTAAACGTACGTTGCAACAACGACGGGGAGGGAAACACAGACGCGTGAGAAAGCAGACAGAATAAGAAAGCGAGCGAAACGGGCGCGTTACTACGCATGCACGCGTTATCCCTGACACGTACGTAATTGCCTGGATTCGGATAGTTCGCGCGCGCGCAAAAATAAAATATAAAAAAAATGAAAAAAAAAAAAAAAATGAAAAAAAAAAAAAAAAAAAAAAAAAAAAAAAAAAAAAAAAAAAAAAAAGGTGAAAACACATCGAGACCTGTTACGGGAACAGATGTTACCTAGGCAGCAAATTCCCAGAGTCTGCTGTACCTCCTCGTTTACAACCGAGAGAAAAGTGTTTAACGCTGTGATGGGATTTAATATTAATTACACGATAATCTCGTTTTGTTTTATCTGATCGTAAACGGTGGGAGGATTTCAGATGTTCTTTTTTTGTTTTAATACTTTCTTCACTTTACTAACTTCCTTACCTGGCACGTTTACTGCAAAGTTCCTTCCAATTTTCAATCCGCGCCCGTCAAGATACGTTTGACCGATAGACCTCGGTAGAGAGACACGACGACAAGTTTCCGATCGTTATCCGATGTCGGACTGTATCAATTGATGGATCAACCGCCGATAGCCGGTAGAACGGTGGCTGCATTCGCGCAGGAAATGAGGATCATATATAGAAGAGCCGTTCAAACACGTGTGTATCGGTGCGCACGGTTCGCGGAGAGTGTAATAGACGATGTAATCAGCATCCTATGCATACACAGAGTACCGTACATATGTGACAACGAATTGTCCTGCGCAAGACATGTGTTACGCGAATCGAATTCTACGCGCGGCATGAATTTCGCGATTTTTTTTCTCATTGCGATAAATCGACTGATGATTGGAACAATTTTTTTCAACACATATTTAAACATTGCTTTTGCGCGAAATCATTTATCGATATTCTCTTGTTTTTCTGTGTCTTATTTGTGCGAATAAAACATGTTCGTATTAAACAGAAATGCGAAAAACCGATACTTTTTTTTACCGGCGATAACAAGCGCGTGATTTCTCGCTTTCACGTTAAACGTGATCGCAGCGAGTGTCCAAACACCAATTTAAAAAAGTTATATTTTAGCGTGGGTTTTGGTTAGTCAGTGCGCGGTAACACGTGACTTCTGAAATTGTTCGGAATTTTTGGAATCACGGAATTTTGGGACTATAAGACACAGTAAATCATATTTGTGTATATTTGTACAGAATTTATTATTTACTTGTTCGCATGTACCACAGTAGAACTCCAGTAATTTCGAGCGCACGGGACCGGATTCATTTTAGACGTCGAAATTATCTTCTTCCCCTTTCAATTAGCGACCAACTGGTAGCAAGAAACGATAAAATATATATATATATATTTATTTTTTTTTTTTTTTTAGATTTTTAAAGAATAAATGCACATTTTACGATATATTCCCAGTTACTCAAGATCGGGAAAACGTCACTACTAATCTATTGGTTCGTCCATAAAGGAGAAAATTGTGATGCTCGAAATTTTACTGGAGTTCTACTGCATTCACAGTCCAATATAAATATTCATACATACAAATCTCACAATTCAAGTTCATTAGTTATTTGACTTTTTTTTATTTTTCATTTGTATTCTACGACTTTTACCTAATCTTTGTTTTCCTTTTCCACCTTTTCCCATCCTTCCCTTTCTCAGTGTGGACGGTCGTTTATATTCAGAAACATCGGCCGAGCTACTCTTTGTATTCCATTTGCTACCGCGTTTTTTGCCACCAAAACCATATTTCTTCGCCTTTGTCCTTTCCTTCGCCAGTGCTTTTCGACTTATTGTACGATTTTGCTGTTTACCTTGAGGTTTCTTCTTGTCGTCCAAGAAATCAAGATCTTTTCTTACACCTTTACGATATTTTTTAACCTCCTCAAGCATTTTCCTCTTTTCCGCGTGTTTCTTTAACGTTGCCTCGACCTGCATCTGCTTAGCTACCTTCTTCTGCGCTCTTAACTGTCTCGCTTTTTCCGATCTTTGCACCATCGCCTGTTTTTTCATCAAGTTCGTTCTGACTCTCTGCATGTGCTCGTCAGACTTGGCCATCTGCGCAAAGTAATCGTCCGGTCTAATTGTGGGCACGCCGAGCTCCTTTAATCTGGAAATACCGTCCATAACAGCGCTCTGAGCCTGACGATGAAACATGGTTTCTCTGCGAAAGTCATTCAGAACAGGATCTTCGGAGGGTTCGTACTGAGGTAACTTCTTATTTCCCTGCAGCTGTTTACTGCGCTTTATCTCTTGTTCCTGCATTTGAAGAGCCAGTTCTGGTGCCAGGGGCGCTGGTGCATTTATCATGTCCAGCCTCTCGATCCATGGTAAATTCAGTCTTACTGCGTCGAACTTCTTCTTCATGAGTGTCTGCAAATTGTATAACAAACATCAAGTTAGATTAGGTTAGATTAAGTCGGCCAAGTTAGAAATAACAGACGTCATCGACAATGCTGACAACAAGACCGGCCCAGTGGTCTCGGGGCCTGAGTTCGCAGGGGCTGCGAACCCGGAGTTCTCGAATCTGCTCACCAATCCGAAGGATTTTTCCGGGCCGGTCCCTTTCAATCGAGTGTATCGATTGATTGGCGAACAGAATCGAGACTCCAAAAAATAATTTGAGTGTAATCTCGAATTAATTACCCTCCCACAAGGCGATCAGAGTCACAACATCTCGAACACGAGCCCGGCCACACAAGTGGGCACGCCCACTGTGAAAGAAGGCCGTGTATCGCGTGGTAGTAAGGACAATAAAAAAAAAAAAAAAATGCTGATGACAAAAAGAATCACTTACAACGCAATTCTTCGGCTGCTTTAGGTGGTGAGCGGATTCGATCTTGAAAATTCCGGGTTTTATTAATCCTTTCTCAAAGGCTTCCTGCAACTGTAATTGATCTATTATTTAGCAAAAGTAATTGATCTATTATTATGGATCCATTATAGAGATAAACCTCGCGATTTTTCACTCTTGCGAGCTGAACACGAGGAGATAAGAGAGGTTAGAATGCGTAAACACCGGAGAAAGATCGGCAAGAGTGAAAAATCGCGACGTTTACCTCTTCATCGGACGAGCTGTACTCCGAATCTGATGTTTGTGACTCCATAATAATAGATCAATTACTTCCGAAATGCAAATTCAATCGCAAAACCGGCTACAAAAACTCTCGCGGAACGTGCGACACTCAAACAAACACGTCTGTCCGAATTCGTCGTTAGGTTAGGTTAGGGTTAGGGTTAGGACAGTCATGGTTGATTGATGAGCAGCGTATGTTGCCAGGCAGGCGGTGTAGCACAATCTGTGTCTTCTTTCCGGCAATCGAAAAGAAGGAAAATTCGCTTTACGAATGACAAAGACACAACGCGAACAGCGGTCGTTGCTGATTGGCTGGCGACGTGACATGGCAACGAGCAGGCCGATCACAGCGCTTCGCTCGATGACAAGCGCCGCGTGCGCAGTAGTGCCACAGCAATCGCCGCTGATTGGCTGGCGGCGCGAACATGGCGACGAGCCGACCAATCGCGGCGCTCTGCTCGATGATGCGCACCGCGTGCGCAGAAACACCACAGCGGCTTCCAATCTGACATACATATATATGTTATGCTCCAAGCCAGAATTATCGCAGCTGGCCGAATGACAACGACGAAACATCATGGCGGACAAAGATAAGAAGCCGATGTCACGTTTAATGAAACTCGCGAACAAATTTAACTGCTTCTACCTGTCAGGTGAGCACGAGCAACGAGTTGCATGTACTCGGACTTGTATTTTCTCATTCTTTGTGTTTCTCCATCACGTAATCGATAAGAACACACGGCTGCCTCTCGTACGGACCAGTAAGAATATTGATTTCGCGTGTTGTCCGTATCTGTCGTTCGCGTTTCAAAAGCAAAACATTTTTCGTCAGGACCCACAAACGAGCATTCAGCATTATCCGCGATTATTCATCATCTCGTGTCGTTTCACGACAGTTATCCGAGTCTCTCTGAAAAAACTTCATTTCCAAAATCATCTTTAATTGTTTTTTTTTCGAGACATTTTGTAACAGACGTAGCTAGCGTTTGTTTTGAGTGCGAAGAAAGTTATTATATGCATGTTAAAAATATACAAACAATTATTTAACCAAATGATATCTTTTTAAAAAAGATATATATATACTTATAAAAAAGATGTATAAAATTGTTCTCTCTCATTTATATCTTAAAACATTGGAACTGGAAGTAATGTTTTTTGTTTTTATTGCACTGCACTTAATTTAATTGTGTTTATTTTTTGTTTTATTGTTATAGTTCTTTTATTATATTATAATTTTATTGTATATTATGGTTTTTCCTTTGTTTATAGATCATAGTATTTATTATTTTTGTTATTTTATTGTGTGTTATATATTCTTTGTGTTAGGTTTACATGCAGGAGAATGCAGAGCTTTTGTTGTGGATGGACAACAAGTTGGTCTGGTACGACCAGATGTCGTGAAAGAAATATTAAATCATCCTCAAGTGAGTGTTTGCCTTTAATTGTCCTCTATTTGTGTATATGTATATATATATATACAAAGATTCACATATGTATGTATGTAAACATGATTGTCACAAGCATGATATTTTGAACTATTTTGAAGGTATTTCAAGTATATCCTGAATATGTGCAATTAAATCCTGCTTTTCGAGATTATACTGAAAGAAGTGCACGTATTGATGAAGTATTAAGAGAATGGAAAGCAAATGGAAAATTTGTGACACTAAGAGGCTGGAGAGAAGAGTGTCACGAAGTGCGCGCTCAGTTTAATACTTTACCTTTACTTAAGATGGATCGCTCAGCTACATGTGAGTATGAGAGAAATCACTACTTTGTTTGTATAATTGCAACGAAATACATTACAATTAATTCGCGTGCGTTGTGGATATTGATTAAAACAATAGGTTTATTTGGAATTCGAAAATATGGAGTAGACATAAATGGCTATGTAATGGATCCTGTTAAGGGTTTGTCAATATGGTTACAAAAACGTAGTCCGACCAAACAAACATGGCCAGCTTACTGGGACAGCATGGTGAGTGGTGGATTGACTGTTGGTTACGGCATAAACGAAACTGCAATAAAGGAAGCTGGTGAAGAAGCCGGAATCCCAAATCATCTTATTGTCAAGCTCAAGAGCGCCGGTTGCGTATCCTTTTTCTTTGAAAGTGAAAGGGGACTGTTCCCTAACACAGAATTTGTGTACGATCTCGAACTGCCACCTGATTTTGTACCACACAATAGCGACGGAGAAGTAGAGACCTTTGAATTGCTGCCTGTTGGCGAATGCCTAGAAAGGATACTCTCTCCACATTTCAAGACTACATCTGTACCAGTTGCTCTTGACTTCTTAATCAGACACGGATACATTACAGCGGAAAATGGTAAATATTTTCTTTTAATCATATCTGTAATAATTGTTTCTTTTTTTTTTTTTTTTTGGTCTACATGTAAATAATTTCCCGATAGTAATTTGAGTAATTTTGTTACAGAGCCTAACTTTATACAAATTGTAGAGTTACTTCATGTACCTCTGCAAACTATGTACAAACATCGACACAAAGTTAGCGATGGAATGGCCAATGGTGAAGCAATCGAAGCTCTAGAGAAAAATTAAGTTTCCATAGAAACTCTTAATTTATAACACGCTGCAGGCTATGAATTAAATTAAACGAATGAGGTTGTTCATTTTCTTTGTTTATTCATTTAATAATGAATTTCATATTAAATGACGCAGTTGTACACATGGAAGATTCTTATAAAAAGTTTTTTTATAAATTATTGACTTGTAGAAATTAAAGAACACGCGTTTGTATTGTTAAGTTGAACATAGTATCTTTTGCATTTATTTTAGAGTTATTTTAGTTGCAATTCTTACATTAACAACGAAAAAGAGAAATTCAATACGCTTTATTAACCGTATTACTTGTAGCATGGTTATGTGATCGGTGTAATACGTTTTTGTTTTCAAGTTTTCACAGTTTTGTGATTCAAAAATGAGGAGAAATTTGCATTTTAATCAACTTTTTATATGATAAAATGTTAATCTTTTATAGTGAAAATCTGATTCGATATCTGATTAATAGAATGAAGTTGTAAAGATAAATCTTTTCAGGTATTCAATTCTATTAATAATTAACTTCATTATTTTTATTAATTCTTTTTAACAAATTAATTGAATAAGTAGTTAGATTATCGAAGAATATTTTTCTGTACGATCTGCCATTCTTACATTCAGCACAACAAAAAGTATGCAAATTATATAATGTGCTTATTTACCGAAAAGATATAATGAAAAAACAAAAAAAAACAAAAAAAAAACAAAAAAAACCAAACTTATATGACGTATTACGATCAAACCAGAAGTATTACGGACGCATTCCAAATAAGTTTACTGATAAGAATATGTGTGTGCTTAAAACTCGAAAAGGTTTTTCAATCAACTCACAGTTATGTCTTTATATATATTAAATCTTCCAGCGTACTTAAACATTTGACTGCTATTTACATGAATTTGCTTATGAATGCGTTCCAACAGTTTTCGATAGAACTTTGTTTTGAATATATGTTTACTTGAATTCCATTAACGAACATGAAAGGCTGTTGTTTGGCATGTTTATTTATAACGTTGACCGCCACGCAAAATTTGTCTCACTGCGCTGCGAATTAACTGTCATTTTGTCTTTATTATTTTTATTGTCAACCCAAATGATAAATTTGTGTTCTCTCAATTAGTCGTTTATCGCGATTTTCCATTATTCTTTTCCTTTAAGTGACACTCTAGCTCAGGTTAAAACAATTTTGTCGCCATGTTTGTAAACATTTTTTTTCTTAAAAAAAAGACTTGAAAAAAACTACGTGCCAGGTTCCATAACTTCCGGCGTGGTAGTCAACGGTATTATTAATACTTTGTTTAGGAGAAAAATCAAAAGTGATAATTTTATTATTCCTTCATCTTGTATACATTACTTATTGTTCGAATTCATCTCGTATGTACATTACTTATTGTTCAAATTTTATTAATATAATAACTGCACAAACTGGCAAGCACAAATTTAAAGACTAATACAACATTTATATCTTTTTGTTCGTCAATTGTTTTGATATTTAAAAAAGTTATAATTTCATGTTTAATTTCATATTTAACCAAATTTAGTAAGTTTATATAAATTTAGCGAGTACATGTAAAATTTCATTTTTTTTTTTAACTCACACACGGAGATCAACAAAAACAATTGTGACATTTGCATCGTGTTTTAATTGTACATAGTATTTATTTTTATTCTAACTTACTTTTTAACATGGCAATTTTATTAAATTGTATATTGCATTTATATATGTATATTACTATATTATCGCTTTAAATATCGTTGCATTATGAGATCATGAATAACTGTTATTAATACAACTCATGTGATATATTTTACATTGCAGTTTTAAAAATTGTTACATATACCTCATAAAGAGCGTAAAATACTTATCCATACACAATAATCTGTTGATATTCTTGTTAAATTCATTATTACGAAAATTGCATTACGTATATATGTATGAAATCTTATATCGTATATGTCTGTTACATCTCAGTTACAGTGAAAAAAAAAAAAAAATGTATTAGTCTTATAATAAATCATCGTAAAAAGGTACGGGGCAAGTACTTGAATCACGCTCTAAAGATCGAAAGATTTACACAAAAGTCTGTTTCAGAAAGAGTAGATATAAGTTCCGAACATCATTTACTTTATACACTATGCATACAACAAGTATTTCGTAGAATAGCATTTGAATCTTTTTTATACCTACCTACCTACGTACAATATAATTTCGTATATTCTCGCACATACATGCCGATGAATTGATATTTTGACAATTTGTATTAAGTCTACCGGAAAATTTTCTTGAATTTTCTATGAGAAGATAAAAAACACATTTTTTGTAGAAATAGTGACGGACAAAAAAGATCTATACATAGAAAATTGGGAAAAGACAATATGTAAGAGAAATCAATAGACCAATAGCACACACACACAAATAATTAACGTTTTTTTTTTATATAACAAAACAGAAGTTTTCGGTAGGCCTAATATACATATACATATAGAACCTCGTTAATTTAACAAATTTTTGCAGTCCCATAAGACCTAATCGAACACTGCGTGTAATAGATTTCATAAGTTTAATACTTTTGTAATGGAGACGATAATGTGTGTAACAATATACTAGTCACTCTCATCTCTTTATCACTCTCTTCTCTCTCTTCTAACATTTAATCTTTCTCCGATCATATATGATGTTTGTGATACATATATACTTTAAGATTATTTTTCCTATTATGAAATTTGTGCATTTTGTTGTAGAAATGGATAGGACTGCTTTATGTTTGTTAAAATAGTTTCCGACATACAATAATAAAGAATTGCATGTTTTTACACCTCAAGTAAAAAAAAGAAAAACAAAAAACCTAATTTAGCTGTGCAGACTTAAGTGAGTTAAGTTTTATATACGATGTTTTTTTTTTGGGCATATGTAAATTATTGTAATTTTGCGTACAATTTTTAATTAGCTCGAACATTTTCTATAGACTTATCGTACAATCTCTTTTGTTTTATATCAGTTTATATCAGTTCTAAAAACAAAAAAGAGAGATCAAGCTCTTCGGAAATCAAGCCGCTGTAGAATTAATCGGCGTTAAATCAAGTTTTATCGCAATTTTATGTAGTTGGTTAAAGCTTCCGCGCGCGTTTAATTCTTCACCGCCATATTGATTTTTATGACGTCAGAAACGAGAAATGATCATGAGTGATACTTGCGACATGTAGCTTTATTCTTTCTTTTTTCTCTCTCTCAAAAATATATGTTTGTAATCCTGAAACCTGTAAAATATGCAGCAAACATGACTGATACCTGTCTATAACATGTACATCACCCTAGAAGTATAATAATTTCTGAAGTAGCGGTACTGTGTGTGTTCTTCAGCGATGTCGCGTATTTTGTTTTAATTTTTCAAGTTTCGTCACAAATAAATTTGCCGCATATCAAATACACCTCTGAGGATTACAATGATATTAATTTTTCAAGAAAAACTCAAATATGAAGTTTATACATTGCAAGAATCTCGTATATCGTGTCATTTCTCGCTTCAACATAATATACAAACATCAATATGGCTGCGGAGAGTGACTTTTTTAAATTAAAATCGCGCGGCTCGTTATTTTGATGATCAAAAAACTAAAAGTTTTTCGCAATAAACACGACCAATTAATGACAACGTTTATAAATTATAATCTTGAAGTTCGCGAAGTTTGATGTTCGTATCGATTGCGTCAAAAGATGTAAACAAAAATATAAAACAGGTGTGTAGCCTTAGAATCGATTGTACTTACACCATAACCATATCGAGCAATGTTCTACTAGATTTTTTGTGGCATTTAATTACTTACCGATTATATTATATTTATTTATATTTTATTGTATTGCATATTTTGATATTTTAGTGTGATGTTTTTGTGTGACGAAAGCGACGTGAGTTTTATAATTTTTATTCTATTTTAATTAATTATATTAGACAAAAAAAAAAGGATGGATAATAATGTTTCACTGCGTATGATTTACGATTTACTACTATGTTTAACAAATCATGTGACGTAACCACATGTATCGACGACACATGTGAATAAAGTAACATTTGTAATTGAACGACGCACAATTAATAATTTTAATCATCGCGCGCGCGCGTACGTCTTTTTCTTTAATTTAACGTATTGCTTAATTTGACACATAGTTGCCCATGTATTTTTGTATATCACTAGTTGCATTATTAAATAACTCAAAATAGACTTCCCGATATCACAAATTTGTCGTTAAATGCGAAATATACATGGTTTTACATAAACACTTGTGAATTATAAACAGATGGGAATAATCAAAATTTAAAATTACATTACAGTTAACCTACGAGTGTTTTATTTTAGAAAACGAAATTCGTGCAATATATATAGTAACATTATTATTATTATCTTGACACACGAGCGAATATTCGCCGCACATTCGTTAACGATGTTGAATCAATAAAAACAAACTCTCTGTGAGGATTCGCGCATTTCTGACAATCCCGCGATTTCACTCATAAATAACCAAACTGACCTAAATAAATATTAATCCGAAACCAATAACACAAATCAAACAACTAGACTAATTTCTATTGATGCGGTCAGTCAGACTGTTCTTAAGTAAACAATTTTCAATTCGCAATCTGTTCTGTCTGGTGACATCTGTCTTTTTTTCGTTACGTTATTTATTAGTCTGACGACACACAGTACAACGCTTATTTCGTCGTAGTGAAAAATAAAAATCTATATCTTCTCTTTCTGAAACTTTTATCATTCATTAATCGGAGAGACTGCATTTCTCCACAAATGTAAAAAGGTCGCGCAATCGCTCGGAATGACAAATTGCATATTTTTTTTTGTTTTTTTTTTTTACACTGAGTATACAATTTTCTTTTGTCACAACAATAAAATAGACACGGATTGATTATAGTTTATATAGACACGCGTTAAAAATACAAACAAACAAAAATCTTTGATCCGTGCGGAAGCCAATAGACTCTGTAGCGTTGTATTTAAATTCATTATAGAGTGTAACCACGGTTTGATGTAGAGAGATAGTTTTTGTTTGCACTGAGATTTTTGTTTTGATATCACCGATAAAACTTTACGGTCAACGATCGTGCTTTTATTTGCGAATCTTAATGCGCGTATCTCTCGTATCGCGGAGAGAGATTAAATCCTTATTTTTCTATTAAATTTCTTCGATTACGTCGATACGCAAATCATACAAATGGCGAGGATCAATCGTCGCGTCGTCGATCTGCGGAGATGAATTATTAATTTCCGGCAAAATTTTATATCGAGTACATCAGTACGAAGATTTTGCGCACACAGACGGGCGGATGCGTCCCGTTTGTATAGCGCAAAACGCGGAAAAACGAGCACGTGCAATGTGAATAACGACAGAGCGCGCGCCGGGTGACGCTTGACCCGTTTAAAAACATCATCCCCCTCGCATCTGTTGCGGAACTTTGTTGAGACGATGTTGCGAGGAGAGAAAGGATCGTTGCGCGACTCCCGCGCGAGAGAAGCCGTCTACGAGAAAACGTCATTTTTTTTTTTTTTTTTTTTTACACTCTTTTCATCAACGTTTCGCAGCGTCGAAAGGGTAACACGTCGGTCGGCGATTAAAAGCAAGTTCCGCCCGCAGTTCGCGTGAGAACGTAAATTCGCATTATCCATATACGTCGCGTTTTTATACAAAGCAACATTTTTGCACGAAAATTTGAAACAGTTCGTGGCGCAAGAATTTTTAATCCGAACTTTACGTTTCTCTCCGCGTTGTTTTTGAAATTTTTATTATCTCAATAGCTGCGTCCGGCAGAACAAAGCTTTGCTTTGTAACAATCGAACGTGATTGGCTCTTGCTTTTAGAACCACACAACAAATCAAAGTCGAGTGTTGACAATTGTTCCGGCCAAACGCGGCCGATTTGACATTTAATTTCGACAACTGACTCAGTCTCACAATGACAAAAATTAAAAACGTCCGTCTTAAAAATTAATCGTAATTTTTAATCATCAGATCAAAGCGAGCCATTTTATTTAATTGAACTTGGAGCTCTCGTTCTGAAACGTATTTTGAAATTCTTGATGTTAGCGTCAAATGTTCTCATTCTCGATTTCATGTTGTGATTTATGTAACGCATAACGTTAAATATTGATTAGAGGACAGAACGGAATCGTGTTCGAATGGAAACGACTTATTACGAATAACGAGCTGATAATATTAAATTTTGCTGAAATACGCGAATTTAAAGATACGTAACATCTTTACCCTAAGACGAGTGTCGAGTTTGTCGTCGTACGTAGTAATGACAGATACGTATGCGCGATGGTGCTGTATAATTGTGACCGTGTCTCGTCGATCCAAGTGCAAAACACACATACCGACCGTATTTTGAGACATCGCGAAAATAATAATAATGTATGTTTTTTCCGACAACTGTGTGTTATTTAATAGCTTTGAACAAGAATTTTGCAAATTTAATCACGCTCTCTCCCTTTCTTGCGCGACAAACAACTTCTTAATTAAACTTCGATTCAAGCGGTTCTCTCTCCAAAATTTCACGTTATTATTATATATATATATATTATCGCCACTACTGCGGTATCGGGTGGATATTTTAATGATTAAAACATATACGGAGAATTTATATAATAGCGTAAATCACTGTGCGGCATTAGCGTTAGAGTATTAAAGTATCGTGATAATTTGCGGGTGTGAAAACGCACAAGCGTGATCTCCGCTCGCGGGCCGACCGCTTCCTAAGCGGCGTTCGCTACGCGCGGCAGGGAGCAACTTTGACCACGATGGGAACGAGAAGAGAATCCCGAGGGACATTGGTCCAAGGGAGACGCGCGTTTACCGCGCGCGCGACGGTGGGGATCGAAAAGAGGGAGCGAGAGAGAGAGGGAGAAAGAGAGAGAGAGAGAGAGAGAAATATAGAGAGGAGAATAGACGGGAGAGAAGTTTGGTGGAGCGAGACGGTGAATCAAAGAATCCGGAGAGGTGGGAGAAACGTGCCGATTCGGAGCGCAGGTGGGGGAAGCCGCGAGATCGCGTCGGCGAAATACAAGGAGAGACAGAGCTAGAGGGAGTGAGAGCAGGAGGAGGGGAAAAGACGAACTCTTCTCTCGGTGAGAGAGAATCCAACGTGGAGAAAGAGGAAGTCGGGCCGTGAGCGCGACGGACGAGAGAAGAGAGCGAGTCTTCGGAAGAGAGAGAGAGAGAGAGAGAGAGAGTGAGAGCCGGACCGGGTGCAGGAGGAGAGGGAAAACCACGGGGGCTTTTGAAAAAGTTTTATCTTGTCGGTGCGCTCGGCCTCTCAGACGCTACCGAACGCCGGTACGGTGTTGTTGGGCCACGGCGTGGTCGCGCGGGCTCCTCGGCGACGAAGTCGGAGCGAAAACAGTAGCGAGCGCAGAGAGAAAAAGAGAGTGAGAAAGAGAAAGAGAGAGAGAAAGAGAAAGAGAGAGAGAGAGAGAGAGAGAGAGAGAGAGAGAGAAGGAGAGAAAAAAGCCGGCGGAGAAAAAAGAAGAGTTCGGTCGTGCGCCGCGATTTTTCGGCCCCCCCGGTCGGTCCTCCCCGTTAAGTCAACTTCCGTCCGTTTTGTCCGCCCGCGCGTTTGCGGACCTTCGCGCGAGAAGAGAACCGCGAGGACCGCCGTGGAAGAAGCTCTCAGACGAGCGTCATCCGCAGGACGAGAAGGGCAGCAACGCGTGTCCTTGACGGAATCGTTCCTTTCATCGCACGTTTCGCCATGCAACATCGTCGCTAAAGTGTGTCGTCCCGTAGTGCTTGATCAAGAAGAAAGAGCAAGCGAAGAGAGAGAGAGAGAGAAAGAGAGAAAAATATAGATTAAAAATAAACGGCGATAAGTGAAGAAGAGAGAAAGGGTCAGGAAGAGGACGAAGAGGTCGAGAAGTGAATCCTCGCCGGTCGCGCCGGCCAGCTGCGCGATGAAGAACCGTGTGTTGCTAAAGAGTGCGTTGCTCTTGCTGCTGATCGCGGCTCACAGCCTGGTGACAGCATCCGAGGTAAGGCTTTTCGATCCCGAGGGACCGTACTCCGGTCCGGTCCCTCTGAACTGTTGAAATTACCAACGATCTCGCGATGGAATATTTCCGGACAGTTTTTCCAAAACAAAAAAAAACAAAAAAACAAAACGCGCGTATCCCGTCGGTTCGGATTCTCGGACGAGGACTACTTTTTTTTTCGAACGAAAACCGCATCTGTACAGTAACTACCGATCGTTGTGATAGGAGATAAAGAAATATATTAATTAATTGACATTTTATTTTTGATCGGCCACACAGAAAGCTAGTGCTCGGATTGCGCGTCTTATCGTTGATAAACTTTTTAAATCGCACAATAAATTTCGCGAGCCGCGTTCCCAACCGAAGCGGTTCGGATTATCTAAGCAAAACGGATTCGCGTAAATTCGAGATAAATTTGTAACAAACTTAAAAAATGTGAGTTTACGAAATCCAAGTTTTATATCGCGCGACAAAAAAAAAAAAAACTTGGCGAATTTATCAGCCGAGGACAAACTCGCGAATATAATTTTCGTAAACTCCCTCGCTGTGGCGATTAGATAGCAGCTTGTGCGGTTCAATCACCGGCGATTATATATCTGTTATGCGTCTCACTTACGTGTGACGATAAGAATCACGCCGCATACCTCGCGGTGAAGACGCGCTTATCGCTCTCGTAGATCGTATCGCGCGATAGATTCGTATACCATTGGAATATATATACCGTCGTTACAAATGATCTCTCACCTCTTTTTAGAGATATATACGCACGCCAAAGCTATCTTTTTTCTCGCGGATTGTATATATATATCATACGACTCCCGTCACGGTCTCCCGTTTGCGTGCAATTTTGCAACGGAACGTTCGCGAATCCGGGCAACATCTTTCTGTGCCGCGTGTCGTTTCCTCGTTTGCAAAATTTTCTTTTCTACGGTTGTAGAAAAATTAAAGTTGTATCCGGGAAACCGGTTCGAATAGTTCGAAAGAATCGATTAATTATTCAAAACCAGAGTAGCTCGCGCCAACGCTATAACGTCGTTATAAATTCACTGCAGTTTATCAACCGCACTGATAGATCTATTATACCTGTTAACATCTGAAAATGATTTCATTTAGCTCGCAAATTGCTGCTACTTATTTCTCCGCGGTGCGTTATCCGATCTCTTTCTATTTTCGAAGTAACGATTTTGCTTTCACGTACACACACACACACACACACTTTTTCGAAATTTTATGTTATATTTTTTTGACATCATACAATTTGTCATTGCGTAATAATTAAAAACATCGTTTAACAAAACATCGAAATATGTTTTGCAAGAAATCGCTGCCATTAAAATAAGATCTCAAGTGAGAATAAATTAGATCCTCTCGTCGCTACTTCGAAGTGTCTAATAAATTTTGCAATTCTCTCAACAGTAGTTTGTGTTTTGCCGCTTTTTCTCTCATAAAGTAGAGAAAACGCGCCGGCTCGTTGCGCCGGCACACAGAAATCTTTCGATTTAACGACAATCAACAGGTACAGGGAGAAAGAGATCCGGTGTCGCGGAAGTATCTATCGCCAACGTTGTCCCCCGCGTATTCCGCGTCGAATGTGTCGCGGATTCGGAAAATACAGATCGAATTGTTATGCGTGTAACACCACCAAACTTGTACAACACAGAGAGAGAGAAAGAGAGAGAGAGGAAGAGAGAGAGAGAGAAAGCGGAGACGGGATAATTCGCGTGAATCGATTATATTCCGATCACACCTCGAACTCTGTGGAAAGCGGATACGAGTCGAACTCGTGTCGCGGCGAAGTCTGATCGCTTCTGGAACCCGCCAATCCAGCGAAATATCATTCCGCGAGGCACGGAATTTCCGTCGCAGCGACGTTTCGCCGGAACGATCTGACGTGACGATTCTTCGGGTCAGTTCCCTCGTAACTTTCGTCGCCGCGCGACTTTGTCACGCCTTATAACATCGCGTCGAAAGGTATATTCGCGATCTGGCAATTCAAAAAAGAATCTTTTTTTTTTTTTTAATTAGTTGGCTATCAAAAATGTTTACACATGTGTATATTTGTATATTTTTCTGAGACGCTTTGCAAACGGAGCATCTTCTCTCTTTAGAATTCAATAAAGAAATCAGGTTCATATATTCAGAGTGCCGCGCATGTTCCTATAAAAGTGCCGGATCAAAGCGGCTTGATATTTCACTTTGAAAAGCAATGAACCTTATTCTTTGAAACCTTTGTATAATTTTATATAAGCGATTTATAAGACTCAACACATGTGCGAATTCGGATACATATACGAAACAAACACGCACGTATCTTTTCTGTACAAAAAAACAAAAAAAAAAAAAACAAAAAAAGATAAACAGGGAAATTTATTTTTGTATTATATGTTTTATTTGTGTTTCTCGAAGAGGTTAATTCGCGTCAAAATTTTGAAAAGACGCATTTTTCGACCAAACGTAAAAAGAATTAATATTAAACTAAAAATCGGATCGAATTTAACTCGTTGTCACATTGTATGACACATCTAAATAAAGCAACCGTTGCTCCGAAATGCAATAAATAAAAGCTGATGACCTCATTATCACGTCGTTTGAATTTTAAGATGCGAATTTTTGATTATTCAAATTGAGAAAATTCTCATGGCGTGGCAAAAAAAAAAATCATATTTCGATTGGGGTCGATCGGGGCAAGCGACATCGGTTTTCGCGACTAAAATACCGCGAGTCGAATAAGCTCACACGCCTGCCGTACTACGCCTATTTGTTGCGATAACTCGACTTTAATGATTGCGTTATCTTACGCCGCGGGGTATTGAATATCGCGATACCAGCGATTTCGATCGACCGTGACAAAGTGAACGCGAGTTCGCGGATTTGATGGAAGTTCGCTTCTTTGGTGTTCTGTTTCGACAAAATGCGAATCTCAAGTACTTGTGTTCTCATTTGGGAAACGTATACGTTACGCACGCGACGATATACGCACCGTCTTCCGCGACGTTGCGCTATTCAAAGCGGCGCGATAAAATGTCTCTATTTGAGGCACAACGTCGCGCGCCGCAGCGACACGCGGGGCTGATGCTCGCTCTTGTTGCATTCGCGAGCGCAACGGTGCAAAATATAACTTTGTATATAAAAATGTATAATAATTATATTTAAATGTAACTACGACAGTTCTTTTTTTTTTTGCGGTGCCGTTGTACGTGTTTCTTTTTAATATTACAATAATTGACAACAGTTTGAGAAAACAAAGTAGCAAATTAAAAAATTTATTCTCTGTATTTCACAATATTGAACTTTTTTTTTCAGTTTTTCACGAAGAACACGAATATATCTCCGAGAGATTTTAAACCATCTAATCAAAACTTGTCGAAATCCACTTACCGCGAACAAATGTTTTATTAAAAGAGTATAATTTGTTTTTTTTTTTCGACTTATTTTGAAAAATGATCGTGATGTACTTCTCTCGTTATTGTCGAGTATACCAAACGTAAAATTGTTTCGGGAAAACAAATTTAGTTTCGAGCTGTATTTATTTGATATAATTGTATTTAGCAGGCCGTGCTTCTCTTTTTTAATCCCGCGAGAACAAATAAAAAATCCGGCAACGTGAGGATTTAAATTCGTGCGTTTTCGTGGCGATGGAGAAATTTTTTAGGGACGATATATGAGATCCGCGAGACGATACTGACTCGATGAATCGAGTCGGCGGATATTGAATTAAAATAGTTATTCTCGGAACGGCACGTTCGCTACGGTTCGTCCGGTGGCTTGATTAATTTCGAATCGTTCCTCGATCTGGAGTCGAATTATCATTTCACGGCGCTTGCGGGCATTTGCATGCAGAGGGACGACCATTTTGCAAACCGGCGTTTTGACAACGGGTAAATCGTAATTGGCATTGAGGATGACGGGAATTGGCGCCGGGCGACGGAGCGAAGCGTCAATCGTGTTTCTTAAATCATGTTTATTCGTAGCGCACGAAAGAAGCAGAAAAAAAAAATATGGTTATTACAGTAAGTGTGAAACGTTTTTATTTGCTAAAATTATATAAAAACTAACTAGAATATATTTAAAAACATAAAAATCCCTATCTAACGTTTTCCTATCGAATATAAATTGCTGCCGTCGTTGGCAGCAGTTCGTCGAATTTTTTCTCGAAAATTTGTTGTTCCGAAGATAAAATCGACAATCTCGTTGTCTCTGAGAACGGACATACATTGATTACTACTCGACGATTTATCAGTATCACGCGTGTGTAAACACAATGTTGTCCTTGGCATGAATTTTCCTTGTCACAAAATTAGGTCGATTATGAGCGTTTCGGTGAAACACTCAGATTCTGTCGAATTCTATATCGGGTGTTGCAAGCGTGTTGTTTGTAACATCGAGACATAATTGGATACGCAATATGAATGACATGCTATCGCCGAGCTGATGTAGTTCATTCCGAGTTTTCTATGTCGTATATCAACAAGCTTGACAATGTCAAAGATAAAGTGTAACTAACGTGACATATAGTTTTTGTCGTCGATACATAGAATTGTAAAATACGCGGGACTTTCCAACATTCGCATAAATTACATATGACGTGTTTAAATAGCATAGTTGTGTGCGACAGAAGAAGATAAATAAATAATCTGATCCGAGAAAACTTTGAGAAAATAAAAACTTATTACACCGTAAAAAAGAATAATATTTATTATTCATTTCGTTGAAATATTAACGTCAATAATTTAAATTTGTGGTTTGCAAAAGAAAATTTATCGAAGAGCTCCGTCGTTATCACGTCGCATTGTGACGTACGTACAGCTCAATGCGCGAGGAGAAAGCCAAAAAATCTCGACACTGGTTCGACAGCTTTTGAACATCGTTAAAAAAAAAAAAAAAAAAACGAAGAACACCGTATTTACTCACGTACTCGATTCGTCGCTAGGTACTCGATAAGTTAAATCTTATCTTGCCGCAACGTCGAAGCATATAATGTATATTCACGTTTCCGATAT